GGGGGCCTGTGCGCGGCCGCCTAGTGTGCACCAGCCCGGGCTGCAATTACAGGGTGACCGGCAGGAGGGGATACGCTCCCCTCCTGCCGGTTACAGAATGTAGCATGGCCGAGCAGACAGACCGCGGTAGGGGAGCTTCTGTTCCCCTACCCGGTCTGACGAAGCTGAGCGAGGCTCCCTCCCCACCAGCAGCGCCCTCCCACCCCACCCCACCAGCAGCACCCTCCCACCCCAGCCCCACTAACAGCACCCTCCCCAGCCCACCCACACCTCCACCCCAACCCCACCAACAGCACCCTCCCCAACCCCACCCCAACCCACCCAGCACCCTCCCCCCACCAGCACCCTCCCCCCCACAGCACCCCCACCAACAGCACCCTCCACCCAGCCCCACCAACAGCGCCCCTCCCCAGCCCCACCCCCCCAGCCCCACCAGCAGCACCCTCCCCACCAACAGCACCCTCCACCCCAGCCCCACCCCCCCAACCCCACCAACAGCACCCTCTCCCACCAGCAGCACCCTCCCCAGCCCCACCAACAGCACCCCAGCCCCACCAGCAGCACCCCTCCCACAGCCCCTCCCCAACCCCACCAACAGCACCCTCCCCCACCCCCACCAACAGCACCCTCCCACCCCACACCAACAGCAGCCCTCCACCCCCCACCAACAGCACCCTCCCCCCCCACCAACAGCACCCTCCAAGCACACAGAACCCCATCCAAGCACACAGAGCCCCTCCACACACACAGAGCCCCTCCACACACACAGCCCTCCACGCTCACAGAACCCCTCCACACTCACAGAACCTCTCCACGCACACAGATGCGTTTTTTTCCCGCTTCCATATCTGCGCACTATGCTGGCGTGATGCATTACGGGGCTGGTATGGAATTCTTTTCCAGGGCTGCTTTTCATTCCCAGTCCGGCGCTGTTTGTGAGTAAAAAGTCACATTATTGCAAGTGTAAAGCCCAATTTGTTGGATATACAGGCGTGTAAGTTGTTGCAAAAGATATCAACATTTTATATGAAGATCTGTGTGCCGCATCTATTTTGTAGACAATAACAATAAAACAACAAAACAATAAAACTTAAACAAGCATTGTGTGATGCAAAATTGTGTGTCTTTATGTTCTGAACTTTGGAAGTATTGGATACCTCTGTGTAACGGATCCCACTACTCCGACTGAGTATATCCATTGTAATTCTCCCAAGTCCCAAGTGAAGCAGTGATTATAGCTCAGTAGTGATGTCCCGAACGGTTCGCCGAATGGTTCGCGAACGGTTCGCTACGGTTCGCCACGAACAGTTCGCCACGGACTCCAGTCAGCAGACACATTCCAGCCAATCAGCAGCAGACCCTCCCACCTACTGGACAGCATCCATTTTGAAGCTGCATTCTTAGTGAGCTGTCCAGGAGGTGGGAGGGTCTGGGAGGGAGGGTCTGCTGCTGATTGGCTGGAATGTGTCTGCTGACTGGAGTCCGTGGCAAACCGTTCGCAGCGAACCGCTGCAAACCGTTCGGCGAACCGTTCGGGACATCACTATAGTTCAGGTATACCCAAACATCAGTCAAGACTTGAAGGGCACAAGAAGACTGATTTATTATGGCCCAGTGGCCAGCTTATATACACAGACCCACAGAATGGGGTCTCCAGCAGTAACATAGTAAACCACTCCCACAACACGCCCAGGACACTCCCACAACACACCTAGGAGTCTCTGTGTACTGGGAGATAATTTAGTTTGGCTTAAACTAAATATCTCCCAGGCAATAGAGTTACAAAGTATAAAAACATAAAATATAAAAAAATACATTTAACACATATAGAAATCCCCCAAAAATAGTATATCCCCAGATAGCCTGGATCTGTGTGCCCAAGTTGTCCAAATAGTGCTCAGATCCCACGATCTGTCGAACAGTTCCCCTGGCATATAGGTAGCGATGGTTCGACTAGTTTGTGTGAATAATTCTACCGAACAGTGCTCTCCTGTCTTGTTGGGAAAAGAAACAGGCGTTTGTAGGACATCAATAGTAAGAAAGTGGAAAAACACCCAGAATACGTGTAAATTAATATATGAAATATACAACAACCTGATGGAAAATGTAATCCATATGAATTCTGTATAAAAATCAGAAATCCAACATAGCGTAATACAGTAAAAAAACTTAACAATATATTGATATAAGTGATTGTAGATACACTCACAAACACACGTAGAATATGGCTTCTCGCCCACTCAGGGGCAATATATGATGCGGTGATTAGACTGGAAAATCCTCTCATAGAACATATGGAAATAAAGGAAATCACAGATAGTGAAGTTTGTTATTAAAATACAAAATCACAATTTATTGGTCACACTTACATGTGTGTATAATACAAAGAGCATATCTCTCAGTAACCTTGGAACTCCATGCAGTATGGTCCTCAATCCAAAATAGGAAGTAGCAGGAGGGGTTATCAAAGAGCAGCCAAAATGCAGATATATACAGATTAAAAACGATATAAAATAACAATATGGAAATAAAGTCCATACATAAATCCAACGCGTTTCGTCCTGTCACAATGTAGGACTTCTTCAGGGACATCACCGGTGTTCGTGAGGTCAAGTGTCCGACTTATAGTTCCAGACACTCGACGACCAAATCCCGCTGCCTGCTTTCATGCGACAAGATGCATGCCGTTTTCTCCAGCATGTGTTGTTCAGTTATATGAATGGCAGCCACACAGGGAGAGCACCTAAGTTTGTGGTTAATGAGCCGGGGAGATGGTCTATGTTCGGTGTTCAGTAGATTGTAGCTGCTGAACTGGGGAAATGTATTTTTGTGTTGGGGAAACTTTATACCATGAACTAGGAGGGAAATGTCTTGCAAATACAGGGAAAATAGTGAGTTTGTCACAATGTAGATGGCCCATAGTTCGTGCACAGGAGGCCTGCTTCCATGCTCCTCCAGGAGTTTGTCACAAACATCCAGGGTAAAGAGCATTTGTCACACTCTGTATGTAGGTAAGAGTACTAAGCTGTCTGCAGGGTAAAGTATTACATATTGATCATGGTATTGCATGACTGGGTACTAGGGCTAATTTGAGGGTGTCTGATCTTTTCCTTATGGTTATGCAAGTATGGAGAGACCTATTTCCACCCAGTAACCGTACGACACTGTCACGGTTCACGCCATGACATCCAGTCTGCCAGAGGTGGTCACTCCGGAAGCGCCCGATAGGGGATTTGAACTGCGGTTGTTTTACACCGTATCCTGCTATCTTCCCTCTGAGCCATTTCAGGACTTTGGATAACTCCTGTTTATTCTTGTTTTGCCTGCAGCACTAGGGGGCTGGACTTCACCAAAGGCTTGGATCTGTCAGTAACTCTCCAGCTGAATCTGATACCTAATTAACAAGGTATAAAAGGCTGCCTCACCCTGGGAGGGGTGTCAGTTCACTGACTCTGGTTCCCTTGTTTGGTTCCTGTTACGCCGTACCTGCGTTCCAGTGATTCTTGTCTAATTCCGGCTTCTGACCTTGGCTTTCCTCCTGGACTACTCTGACCTCTGGCTTCCCTGATTTTGGCTTCCCTTGATTCTGCTAATCCCTGCTGTACTGAGTCTTGGAGCACTTTTCCTGGAAAGTCCCCGTGCACAGACTCACAGGCCAGGTGGCGTCTTACCTGGTCACCCTGGTCTGTGTCTACTTTGCAAGGGTGAGCGTATAACTCTGCGAGCTGGACTCCCTATCAGGTAAGACTCCGTTACAGACACACAGTCCTGGGGGTGCAACGACAACTTTATTGGCTACACTCAGCTTTATACTTTTTCCCAAGCAAGGGGTGGTTCTCATACGGTATAACGACAATGTCCCCTCCCAGCATCCTCCCCCTTCCAGGGGTCGCATAACAGAGCCAGAACCCCCATACCTTTGTCCCCTGTTCACACGACAGTGTCCCCTCCCAGGGCCCTCCACCTCCTATGAGTCTCTTGACGGAAATGGAACATCAGTCCCCTTGTCCCCTGTTCCCTCCACCCATCCTCAGAGTTTCACACCTCTGTACCTGGGAGCCTCAGCATGGGATAGCTTCCTGCCTCCTTGTCTCCCAGTCACAGAAAGCCCGCCAAAATGCCATTGTCCTCAAAGGGTGTCCACACCAATCTCAGGGACCCCCAGAACGCTAACCGCCACAAATAGCCTCCGTTTGCGGGGTCACTGGGTGAAATCAGGCAAGGAAAGCATCTCATTTCGGGACATGAATGCTCCCCCTGGCAGTCGCTTATCCATATGAATGGCAGCCACCCAGGGAAGCACTCATTAATTACTTCCCTTGTGATTTTAAACTGATGTTGCAAGTAGCCAACGTACTAATTGATTGGTGTGAACACTCCAAGGGCACTGGGGAGGTCCTCGTTCGGGAACAGAACGAGGTGGGAAGCAATCCACAAATGCTCCCCCTTGACGGCGTTCATAGAATGAACAGGCCACCACCCAGAGGAGGAACGCGCCGAGGCTTCCCTTGCGGTTTGTGGTTTTGACACCTCATTACGAGGTGCGAACGTTCTAAACCAACATGCTAAATGAGTTGTCCTGGTTCGGGAGGGGAATGCCTTACCTTCATGTAGGCCCCCCCGAACGGGGAGCAGGCACATTCTTATGAAACATACGGGGGAATACACAGAGTATAAAACAGCAATTCACGAACAGGCAGCGGTCCTGCCACAGTGTCCCTGTAGTGGGTCATTCAGTGGGAGTAGGAAGGAAAGGAGTCTAAGCAGAGTACACATTTTTTTGGAATGAATTAATCTACTTGGTACTGTTGAATGTATGCAGGAGTTTTATGGGATATGCTCAGTGCTCCCACTGAAAACAATTGGCCTGCAATAAATAGCCTTCTCCCTATCCCTGGAGAAGCTGCTGATTTAAAGCAAAGCAAAGTAAGAGTTTAGAGTATTTAGTGTTATATTTCAATAGTTTTTATTACTGAAAATCACTTTTGATTGAACGTTTTGCAAAGGTTTACAGAAGAAGGTTCATTAACCCAACAATGAGTTATAGAGAATGCAGAGTATCTACAGAACTTCAAAGCACACAGTACAGGAACATAAGTGACGTAGTTATGGTTCGGATCAAGTATGATTTAGGTGTTTCCTGCGACATGTAGCTATACTGGGATGTAAAACATATTTCAAGGTAGATAGACAAAAAAACTGACATCATGGTATTCTGAGAAATGTGTGCTTATGGCGACATGGGAACCACGAAGTTCTGAAACGATGGGGAGAATTCTGTTCCCTGGGGAGAAAGTGTGACCATCAAGTCTTAGCTGAAGACCCAGTCCATCAAGTCTTAGCTGAAGACCCAGAAATAAAAGCTGAAAGTTGTCCATAAAGGTCAAAGCTAGCCACTGTGCCCCAATATTTTTAATTCAATTCTTGCGTTTCCTAATGTTTTATCCAGTAACACACTTAAAAGGGAATACTGGAAGCTGGGGTACAGCCACAAAGATTATTTAATGAATCTAAAATTCCAACATACATCTATCTGCTCTAGAGGAGACTTAAAGGAACACTCCACGCGCCATAATCACTGCAGCTCCCTTTAGTGGTTATGGTGCTTAAAGTGTTCCTGTCACCTTTTCCTTTTACAAATATCAGAATAACATTTATTTTAATCATGGGATGTGTAGCTAGTATAAAGTATAAATTACAGTAATTCTGTGAATAAATGGCTTTTTAAGTTATTTTTTTTTCTTTTGTTTGTTGTTTATTGGGATTCTTCACAGAGATTATAAGTAAATAGAACTTCATTTCCTTTACATATTTTTTTTTTTTTTTTTTCTAGTTTCTTCTCAATGATGTCACAGGGTCGGACACGGCAGTAGTGCAGGAAGCAGCTTACTCTTCAGATTAAATCATGTGCCTTACAAAAAAAACAAATAATGTGACACATTGTTTTCTAAAATACAAATATGAAGAAAGATGGTAGAAACACTCAAAAATAGCTTAACTAAATGAATACAAACCGATAAAACTTTAATTCTTGAAAGGATTCATGAGGACACTGGCTATACTGTCAGCTGTGTAAGAATACACAATATAATACTATAAACACTAACATAAACATAGAACATTTATAGGAAAATGACCCAACTAGGAGACTGAATGCATAAATATAGGAGATAAAAACTGATTAGTGCATGCAGTTAGCCAGACAGCCACTAGAGGGCATCTATTGCTTTCCTGAAAACTAGAATGTTACACGTTATTTAAATTTTTATAAAATTAGCATTAGCAATACAATTATTTAAGTTTATGCCAAAAATATAAATAAATTACTTGCTTACACATGATATAAGGTTATTACTCAAATCCTTATTTAAATCACAGCAGGCAATGTTTCTGCACATGCAAGGTAAAAGATGCCGTGTCTCGATAAGTCTCTTCCGGATGTATCTGTATTTATGATATTTCTTTGATATTTTTTGAATTACTTTTGTTTGGAATAAAATTGCTCTTTGTAATATATACACGGTGGAGCTGTTTTGTATTGATTTCTGTAAGATGAGGACTTTACAGCATTATCCATCTAATTGAAGGTAATGTTTGAGGGAATCATATATCGCATAGTATGAGCCAACTTTATAGCCTCAAAAAGATGTGAGTTACCCACTATGGGGAAATTTTACATTATATATAAATGCATGAGAATTTTTCTTTCTGATTTTATCTCTATAGGATAAAGTTATAATTTAAAATAAATTTACATTATATTGGATGAGAACTATAACCACTGTGTCAGCTTTTACTTTGATATTCATGGTTTTTATATGATGCAAAATGTAAAGGTGACATCACTGAAGTTCAGTTATTTGAGTTTTTCAGTAATATATGTGACGGAACACTGGCACTCCGACTGAGTACCTCCATGTCGATGCTCTAAACGCAGGACTCAAAAACACTCAACGACACACCATCAGCACTGCAGACCCCACTTCCAGCGATGCAACTGCGCTGGGGTCTCTGCTGTCTCCACCCACCCTGGACCCAAGGCCAGGATCCAGCTTCCAGTGGGTGAACCTCTCTTTCCCCAGAGAGCAGGAACAAGCTCTTAGCAGAACTTGGTGATCATACCCTGGGGAGTATAGTGATTATAGCAATCCCCAGAGTGTATTTCTCCAATCCCCTAAACATGAGCCAAGGCTTAATGCTGGAACAAGACTGATTTACTGGCACACAGAACTCACAATTTATGCAACACAAAACTCCTCCTCTGGGCCAGGCTAGATAATTGAGTTTCTACAATACACAAAGCTCAATTATCTGCTGGCCAGAAATAATACAGTTTCATAAAACACACAGGGACCCCAAAACATGCAATAAACCCATAAAAATCCTTGGAACCGGGGGATCTGGGTGAACCACATATCCAAAATTCACCCAGATCCGCTCAGTACTTTGGAAAATACAGTTTAATGCAGATTCTGCAGAACATATACAGGCTAAATGAAAAACAATCACTTTATAATGTGTCCCCTGCTGTATAGCCCAAAACCACTGCACGATGTCTCTGTGCACCAAATACTGGCGAGATGGCACCGTGTTGAAAAGTCCAAACAGTGTCTGTGAGTTAAAATGGCCGCCATCCATTGTTCTCACCATGTGCTTCTGATACAGGAAATAGTGGCCACCCAGTAACTCCACAG